CATAAATAAAGGTTTGGCTGTGTTTTGGGAGGATGAAAAATGCTAATGAATAGGCAGCAAAAAAGAGCTTTCCGAGCACTTTTCTGCTAGTTTTTGAGCAATATGTCTAATAAATTAGGTTCTATTCAGACTACTTTCCTCAAATCAATGCAAATGATGGACCTTGCACTTCACTTTCCACCTGTGGTAGAATCATGAAATTGGTTTTCCAGGAACTGAGCTAAGAAAAGAAATAATCAAAAGGAAATAAACTCTATCGGAGAAGAAACTCTGGTTAATTAATTTCTTAGAAATAATTTGGGCTCAAATAATTTTTGCTGTTATACCAGTTTTAGGGATGAAGCTGATTTCAATGCAATTATCTAGGCAGTACATTTATGCAGCCAAAAGGCAAAGCAATCCATCAAATTCCCAAATACAAAGAACTAGCTTTAGAAAAGTAACTCAGTGGTTCCTTTCTGAGGTCTCCACTCATCTAACTGTAAGTATGGTTAGTGAATTTTTAAATTCATTCTTTAAGTTCATTCATGAGGCAGGTCCCTCAGTGTGATTAGAAGCCTAGTTGAAGGCTTTTTCTTCAGGAAATTCTGACTCTGCTCTCTAATCTGCTCTTCAGATGTGATAGAAATGCTTATTTTCTGTTAATGAGCAAGATTAAGCAGATTTATTCTAATTAGCAGGTAACTTTGCTGTATTATGTTTTAAAACAGACGGTACTTTGGTGAGAAAATTGGGCTGTACTTTGCCTGGTTAGGCTGGTACACAGGGATGCTCTTCCCAGCTGCCTTCATTGGATTGTTTGTCTTTTTGTATGGAGTCACCACTTTGAACCACTGCCAAGTCAGGTAACGTGGGAACTTTTATAAGGAAATTACAGCTGTGGGTTATTATGAATAATTTAAGAGATCTTCCTATGAATTGTTCATTATTTTATTTTGAACTGTTGAATGAACAGTCAGGAAGACACTGCTTGGTTCTCATAAGGTACCCATTATGAAGCTTCCCATGTTTTATGCTCTTAAACTGGGAAAAGATAAAATGCTTCTTGCCCAATTCCAGTTGCTGATGGTGCTGGCAACTCAGCTTGAAGTAGGGAAAAGGTAGGGCTCTTCATTGTTCTTTTAATGGGCAAGCAGAAGAGTGGGGAATTTCCACTCTCTTTAAGGCCTTTCTCAAAGATCCACCACAGGGAGGCATTCCTCAGATGAAGAAACCCCTTGCACACTTTAGACAAGTCACAAGAATAAGTCAGACTGAACTTTATCTGCAGTCATCCTCACCCTCCTCCTCCCAAAGGTCACTCTGACTCAAGGAGAAGCTGGAAATGATAAAGAGATACAGCTCAGCTGTCCCTAAAGAACTGTACTCTGCACTTATGACTTTAACTCTGAAGTCTTAGACAGTCAACAATAGTAATTATACACGTGCAGTTATGAACATCTTAGCTTCAGTTACAGACCAGTTTTGTTCAATAAGTAGCTGAACATTAGCAAAACCCACCAATCCATTTTAAGACAGATTGTTGTGCATCAAGCTATTAATTTTTGCCTCTTCTATTTTTACAGTAAAGAAGTCTGCCAAGCTACAGATATCATAATGTGTCCTATATGTGATAAATACTGCCCCTTCATGAGGTTATCAGACAGCTGCATTTATGCCAAGGTATGTTTGAGGCTATGCAGATAGAAATGCTTTTGTGGTAAAAGCATTCATTTTGCCCTTGTTTTCAGTGAGCTTGGGTAGATAAAATCTTGAAAGGACAGATCAAGTTCAGCCAACATTAACATTGTCTTTCACCAATACCTCGTTTGGGCTGTAAAACACTTGAATGCAATTTGCACTTGGAGAGTTAGCAGTCTCAGAGGTCATGTCCTAGATGCATGTGCTATGGTGTCATTGGCATCAGCCTTTACCTTCTGATCCATCTTCTGTACTTGTCTCCATAAAATTAATGTTTTGGGTCTGCAATGATGCTCACACCTGGTGTTGGTAGGGGTCAGTCCCAGACCAGGCTGGCAAATAGTTCTGTCCATTGACAGATGCATTTCACATGTCAAGGGAAGGATCCTAAGGATTGTCAGGCCAGCTACACTCAGGATCACAGTAATTTTGTTGAGTGAAAACAGAAAATAAAGGTTTAATATCACAAATTGATCATACTATTAATATATCCCTCAGGTAACCCACCTTTTTGACAATGGAGCTACTGTCTTTTTTGCTGTTTTCATGGCAGTGTGGGGTAAGTTATTCTTCTGATATTAAGTAATAGCACCATCTTTTTCTTAAAGATTGTGATGCAACATAGGCCTTTTTATTTTCTAGTACACTTTTTTCAGACACTGAGAAGCACCATATATGCTTGAGTCTCTTCTGTTTCTACAAAAGGAAAATGAAAGTGGTTGAATCAGGTTCTAATGTGATAATAATTTTAAGTAAAATAAAAACATGAATGCAGTATGTAGTGTCTATGCAGATTACATATATAAATTACATGGTGGAGCTCATCTAGTTGTTTTTAAATCCATAGGTACTGAGGCCTTTTCTCCAGGGCTTCTCTTAGCCTAGGGCAGCTCAGTTTACTGTCAGTATTAAAATGAAGTAATGTATTGCTTCCCCACCTAGTAAGCTGGTTGCAATTAAAGCAAAACTCAGATGAAATAAATGGAAGATTTCATTGAATGGCAAATTGATCTGAGAGAGGTCTAACTGTTGCCATGGAGGCTGAATTTTGCCCATAAAACAGTTCTATTTCTGGCTCAACTATTTTTCCTGCTATGGTCATGTAAGCAGAATTGAAGGCAAGAGGAAACAGTAATTTTTGGCTGCACAAAAAGTGTTTCAAATGTGCCCTAAGCATGCCCAGGCTCTTATCTCATACCATGCCATTCTGAGAGAAGGTTAACAACTTTAGAAAATGGCTCAGTGAAGTGACTCAAAAATGGCATTCACATCACAGCTCCAGGAGCTTGAGCTGTCCTGATTTAGTCATTGTTCTCCTCTTAAACATTTCCGACCACTTTGGAAAGGTGTCCAAGTAATTCTTATAATCTCCATTTTAAACTGCAAGTCTCTTTACTGAACCACAATAAATACCCAGGGGATAACATCAGAACCATCAGGACAACATAGATTAGCCTGCTGTCTCAGCCTTCCTCAAAAACTCTGGCTTTGTCTTAGTTAACTAATTAAATGAGGTCACATACCAACCAGGCCTGTTCATGTCGTTTCAAGTAATACTGACAATATTAAAATATCACAAACTACATCTAGGAAAAAATCCACAGATCATACAGATTTATGTTTCTGCTTGATATTTCAGCTTTATTTTCAAGCTACAGCAGAGCTGAGATTCACCAAAAATTTCGAAGCCTTAAAGATTTACTTTTTTTTTTGATGTTTACTCAGCTTTTCTAAACTCTTTCTGCATGTGTTCACTGAATTTCCAAGACAGTTTAGAGGCAGGGACTTCCATCTCAGCTAGGAAAACTGATGGGTTAACACTATTGTACCTTTATGTCACTGTTCCTATCTCTGGTAAATCTTTGGAGTGCAGCTTTTTCACGAATGCTTTTGTTCCTCCTTAACCATAACATTGCTTTCAGAAAATAGCTGTGCTCACAGCATGGCATCTGTGCCTTAGCACTGCCCAGACCCAGGGCTGTAGGAAAAGTAGCTCTAGGTAAGGGGAATCCCTCACTCAGGTAACCATGCCTGGTCCTGCCTTGTGGTCACTGCCTTTGAGAAGACTGAGGAGAGTGATATGCCTGCCTACAAAATATTGTAGGTCCTCTGTCTTTCCTATTTCTGGTTGACAGGAGCTGCATCTCACTCTGGCTAGCCTTTCCTTCCTCCCCACCCTTCAGCATTACTGTCAGACTCCCAGACCTAATTCCCTTGGGGGATGTCTGCACATCAGTGTGCCAGGACTTGGAAATGCACTGCCCATCCATGGATCTCCAGCACCTAAGTCCACAGCAGGATAAGAAAAAAGTATAATAAAAGTTGCCCTCTGGATGATTTAGCTACTGGAGAAGGACACCAGCTGGTGTGAGAGCATTCCCCACCGCTTTTGTTGGCTTACACTGTGCTTTTGAGTTTGCCATGAAGGGGGAGGTAGGGGCAGCAACAGGAAAGAGATGTGAGCATAGGGTATGGTTTGGGGAATGGGGCCATCCTATGGCTCCACCCAAACTGTAGTTTCTCAAAGAAGACTTTGCAAAGACAGCAGTGAGATTGTGGAGATATTTTCCATGCACATAGAGCTAAAGCAGCATTAGAATATGGAAAGTCACACTTCCCAGGGATTTTCTGGTTCTGTATTTAGAAGCTGGCTTACTGCCTGTGTTAAATGGATTTTCAGTCTGCAGTAGGCCTATTGGCAGCTGCTGGCATTGACTGTAAATCATAGGGGAAGAGAAGAAACAATAATAGCAGTTTGATTGTGGAAATGTTTTTTCTGTCAGCATGAAACAACTGGCAAGTGCATGAAATATTGGCTGTGAAAAGTTTGGCATTCTAGATGATCCAGTTTGACAGATATTAATATATAAAATAATGATGGCAGTGCTTTCATAAAAAGAGAATGAAAGCAAAAAAAAAAAGTCAGCTAAAACTGTATTACCTCTGTAGCTTGAATGTAGACACTCTTATTATTATCATCTTCACTGTCATTAGATCCATTAGTGACCTCCCATCTTGAGAGAGAAGCCTCAGCTATTTTCTTGGGGGTTTCAAAATTAAAGACAGTTTTAATTGATGGACAAAGTGGTTTGCTCACATTTTAAAAAGAAATAAAATGCTTCTCCAATGATGAGCAAACTGCTGGG